CCACTTTCCCTTGTGTGAACACAGAGATGGGAATGGCTCCTACGCAGTTAGCCCCTGTGTGGGCAAGGTGGTGCCTAGGATCTCTTCCTCCTGCCCACAGAGGCCCCGGCAGAAAGATGAAGTGCCTGGTTTTCTGAGGCAGCTTCTCCCTTTCTCTCTCCTCCTTGGTCCCTCCCCATCTCCAGACCCAGCACCCCACCCTCCAAGCCTGTGGCCTTCGAGGAGTTCAAGAACGAGCGAGGTAGTGAGATCAACCGCATCTTCAAAGAAAACAAATCTATCTTGAACGAGCGAAGGAAAAGGGCCAGCGAGCTCACACAGCACATCAATGCCATCAAGCAGGAGATCGACCTGGCCAAGGAGGCACTGAGTTTCCAGAAGTCACTCCGGGACAAGCAAGGTAAACGTGACGGGAATGTGCCAGCAAGTCGTCTTGCTTCAAGTGGGGCATCCTTGGGCACAGATCTGAGATGGCAGGGAGCCAGCAGGGACACTGGGGTGTGGACTTCATCCCTGGATCATATCGCTGGTCTTTCCCTGAGGGGCCACCGAGCCCCCTCATCAGGCAGCCTCTGGCTGTGGGTTCCCTGTTATTGCATCATCCCAAACCTGGGCCTGCCACCGAGTGCATCTATACTGCTGTCCATGAAGGAGCAGTCCCTTGTCTGCAAAGTATCCCCAGGAATTGGGTGGCTAGTCACCCCTCCAAGATCCTTACTCCTAATGTGGTCTCTACCCAGGTGGTCAGACCGGGATGAGAGTTCTAGTAGAGGCCACGAGAAACTAAGGAGGGGAGCGAGGGTGGAGATACCAGAGAACCGAGGGCCTCACCATCAGTAAAACCGTTCCCTTGCTGGACCCTGGGCACCTGTGCTGGCCTGGCAGTCTCATCTCCTAGGACAGGTGGTCGGAGGACTCCATGCTCAAAGAGCAGGGCCCCTGCATGGGGAGGGTACTCATCTGGCCACCCTGACCCTGTACCCTTGTCCCCAGGGCCTGCACTGCCCACATCTGCACTGAAGACTCACATGGGAGGGTGGTCGGGGCAGATTCCAAGCCCCCAGCCAGTGGTTCTGACTCAGGAGATGTGAAGCAGGTCTACAATTTGCATTTAAAGGGACCAGCAGATGGCATAATGGTTATGTTGCTGGACTCCCAGGTAGTTGAACACAGTTCAAGTCCCAGAAGTGACTTAAAACTCATGCTGGGTGTGTGGGCATGTGTGTCCAAAATCCTGAGAGGAGACTGGAGGAGAAGGGATTGTGGCATGGCCATCCCCTCTAGGGAGTGATTTCTTGCTTTCTGTCTCTCTAGTGAGCACATGTGCCCTATATAAAAAAATATTTCTGAAAAATAAAAATTAAAAATAAAAAACCACTTTACCAGTTAATATAAAATCTCTCTCTCTCTCTTTCTTTTCTTTGATTGCCAGAGGGCATGTGCACTTGTGCACATGAGGTGGGCGTAGAAGGCAGGTACCCCCCCAGTGGGGTATGGCTACACCCTAATCCTTTCTCCTTGATTTCTCAATCTTGTCGGGATTCTGGGCACACATTCCTGGTGCATTTTTCCAGCTACCAGGGTAGGGACTTGAACCACGGTCAGCCACGTGGGACGTGGCTCCCTCAACCACTAGGCCATAGGGCTGGCCCTCTAAGTTCAATTCTTTTAAGACTTTTTTCTTGGAGATCATCAGAAAGCCTCCAGGTAGTATAAAGGTGACTGCGGTCCCTTCCCATCTCAACGGCGTGCACAAAGACTCTTCCCTGTAAAGGCGGTGTGCATATCTGAGCGACCACCTCAGGGCCAGGAGACGCAGCAGCAGTGCAACTGGGCCAGCATGGCACAAGGTCTGGGTGTGCGTCCCAGGGCTTCCCATGCATGTCTGGTGCAGGCTGCCCGAGACCAGTGGACTGGGACAGGAAGCCCTTGCTCATGTGCTTTTTACTCTCAGAAGAAATAAATGAATAATCTTACAAAAGCAGTCCGTACATGTTCAGTACAGATGTAACTGCTATTTAAAAACCAACCACCGGAGATGTCTCGTAGCAGTGGACAACAGTAAGTCACTCTGAATCGAAGGGACCTGGGGAAGGTGACTCTGGACACTTCCCCTGACCCAGGTAGCAGATCCCTGCCTCTCCACTGATGGCGTGAGTGACAGCGATTGTGTCTTACTTTTCCCCAGCAAACATCAGCGGAAGTGCTACCACTTCCCTCTGGCACCGGGGCCGCCTTGTGCCCCACCACACCTCAGGTGGCATGCAGAACTCACTTGCCCCTCACCCAGGGGAAGGGGTTGCTGTGATGCCTTTGCTAAGCCTTCAGGTGCTGTGAGCAGTGGACAACCAGGTGAGCGACTTCACAGATCATAATAGTTTGTCTCGGCCTGACAAAGGTCACTCAGTTGACCTTAGAGAGTCCATGCAAAGACCGCAGCTAATAGCACAGCTGGCCTCCCCCCGAGCACGACACAGCTGTCTGATCACCTCGGCGAGAGGGCAGCAGTGAACGCGGAGACCGGCAGGCGATCGGGAAGGGGTCCGCGTCACTGCTGTGAGAGCGCTGCCCAGCACCCGGGGCGCTAGCCAAGGCTGGCCACGATGATCTGACTTATTGGGAAACGAACATTTGTATGACGGGGTGCCTGCCGAACATCTTTGGCTGGTGGGATTTAAGATCAAAACCATGCCCACCTGGCCCACTTGTCCTATTTTCTTTTTAATTTGTTAGAGGGTGTGTGTACTCACCACAGGGAGAGAGACACACAGCACCCCCTATGGGTCATGGTCATGACCCAATCCCTTCTCCATTTCTCCTTTTGGGATTTTGGGCATACACACACGTGCCTACCCAGAGTGTTTTCTACATCACCAGATCCAGGACTCGAACTGCGAGGTCACCATATGGGATCCAGCTGCCTTAATCACACCACCACCACTGGCCCTTCTGTTTGTCCTAAAATGTCAACGTGGCCCCACAGATCTGAGCTCCTCCCTGTGAGGCAGGCTCTGGCAGCCTGGCCTTTCTGTGCTTTGCGTATCTTGCCACGCCCAGCCCGTCTTCACACTTGCCTGCACTGCGCCCTCCTTGTGGAGTGCCCTCCTCCACCCCAGGTGGCCAGCCCCTCAGTCCTGCCCTCTGCCACCTGCAGGCGAGTACGAGAACAAGGGGCTGATGATCATTGATGAGGAG